CTGGCTCTGGGGCTGGGAGGCTTTGTCCACTCCATCATTCAGGTGGCCCTCATCCTCCGCTTGCCCTTCTGTGGCCCAAACCAACTGGATAACTTCTTCTGTGATGTGCCACAGGTCATCAAGCTGGCCTGCACAGACACCTTTGTGGTGGAGCTCCTGATGGTCTTCAACAGTGGCCTGCTCACCCTCATGTGCTTCCTGGGCCTTCTGGTCTCCTATGCAGTCATCATCTGTCGGGTACATCGGTCGTCCTCTGAGGGGAAGAACAAAGCCCTGTCCACTTGTACTACTCATGTCATTATTATACTTATCATGTTTGGACCTGCCATCTTCATCTACACTCGCCCCTTCAGAGCCTTCCCAGCTGACAAAGTGGTTTCTCTCTTCCACACTGTGATCTTCCCTTTATTGAATCCTGTGATTTATACTCTTCGCAATCAGGAAATAAAAGCTTCCATGAAGAGGTTGCTTAATCAGCACTTAGCCTGATGAAAGGGAGGAAGGGAAGAATATGAAAATCAAGACTGGAGAATTTCTTCTGAAATTAATGTATACATTCCCAAAACATTTCATTTATTGAGCATCTCCCATTGTCAGACTATTCTAGGCACTGGAGAAAGAGTTATTGAGATAAGTAAAGTTACTGATCTCCTAAAGTTACTTCTGGTGAAAATAGACAGCCATTAAGATAGAAAATAAATAGCATGGTTTCAGGAAGAATACTGTCCTGAAAAATTTATAGAGAGTGTGAAGTGGGAGGGGGTAATCAGTTTACTTTCAGTTTATCAAGACAGGTCTTCTTGAGGAGGTAATATTTTGGTTGATATCCAAAAAGGCAAACCATACAAATATCTACAGGCAGAGCATTCTAGGCAGAGGAAACGGGTAGTGCAACAATCTGAAGATAGTAGGAACTAGGTATATTTAAGAAACACAACAAAATTCAAATTGACTGGTATATAATAAGTGAATGTGTAAACAATTAGAGATAAAGTTAGAGATACTGCTGGTGTATAACATACATATGGGTCTATAAACTGAGTATAGAGTGACTTTTTTGTAATAATAATGATGTCATTCTAAGGTTTGAAGCAACAGTGATTTCTCTAATATAGTTTTATAAATTACTTAGGGCTGTAAACACGTAATTCTGTGCAAATATCAATAAGGGTGGAGCAAAAGTAGATTTTTCAGTTCCTCATTTGGAAAAAAATACAATAACTAATAAATAATAATATAATAATAAACTTTGTGTTTTGCATCCTCACAAAAGTAAACCTACCAATGGGGAAATTATGTTTATAAATATATTTTCCCCATAATTAGAGAAAGGGAAAAGAAAGCTGGTCATTTTTTTTACAGGATATTTCCTGTAATAAATACAGGATATTTATTACAGGATATTTTTTACAGGATATATATAAAATTGATTTTTTTTTACAGAGAGGAAGGGAGAGGGATAGAGAGTTAGAAACACTGATGAGAGAGAAACATCGATCAGCTGCCTCCTGCACACTCCCCAGTGAGGATGTGCCCACAACCAAGGTACATGCTCTTGACCGGAATCAAACCTGGTACCCTTTAGTCCGCAGGCTGACGCTCTATCCTCTGAGCAAAACCGGTTAGGGTAAGCTGGTCATTTTTATGTGAAAAGGTGATGGAAACATTTCACTTTCTTTTCTCCCGAATGTCATGATTACTTCTAGAAGATTTTTATGACTCATAGCTATTTGTTGATCTCATCCTCTGTTGATTTCACACTGAGTATAATGATGATAGTTCTTTAATGAACCAGTCAGGAAGCTTTGCATCCTAGTTATTTTAAACACAGTATGATTTAATATACACAGTTTTGTGCTTACAAAATAGTTGAAAAGTCCGGAAGAACATACAGTATGCTGGGCATCCAGAGAGGACTTCTAGAACAATACAAAACCTAGACTATCAAGACAGTGGTTTTGCCTACAATCTTTGCTATCTGTTGTCGGAAAAATGCCACCACGTTAGCCACAGAACTGGGATGGGATCAAGATGATGATCCAGAGCCAATGTGTGAGAATGGAAGAGCCTATAACCTTCAATTGCAAAGCCCTTCAAAAATCCTCTGATGTCTTAGAGATATTATTAAACGCAAATACATCATGAAATACCAGTCTGAGTGAGCTTATAAAATTCACAAGAAGAGGGCTCTTGACTATCATTTTGAGTGTATTTTTATAGGCAGATAATGGAACAATGTTGAGAAAAATGGCTGTCTCAATGTAGAAAAGAAGTAAACAGAGAAGCTAATTGGAGATCTAATAAAATATTTTTTAATTAAAATTTTGTGTAGGGTTCATTTCCCCCTTCCTCCCCCACCCCCGCCTTGTGTGTGTGCGCGTGCGCGCGTGCCTGTAGTGTTTATATTCATATGTGTAAATATGTTGAGGTATGACTTTCATAAGTTCCTCTGGTTGCTAGTAGTAGTACATGGGAACATATATTAACCACTCTATTCAGAATTAGGCATAGTTAATGTAGATACTTTTAATGTTTTC